ATCCCCCCCGCCCCTCCCCCTCTCGTTCAGCGCTGCTGGCAACGACCAGCCCAGATGCGGGCACTGCGTGCCCGCCCCCCTGCGATTGCCAATAATCGATGCAGGCCGCGCCTGCCTTTTCCGCCCTCGGCCGAGCGGGCTCGCTCGTCGGGCGGGCCGCCCGAGGGCGATGGGGGAGGGATAGGGAGGAAGGGGATTTTATTGGAAGGACCCTTCAAGGGCAGGACATCACGAGGAAGAAGTTTCGGCTGGCGCCGAGCGGAGGAGGAGGAGGAGGAGGAGGAGGGCGGCGGCCGACCCTCGACCCCCCGACCCTCGGCCCCGTCGATCCTCGACGCGTCGGGTTTCGACGGATTCGAACCACGATTGGGGCCGCGATCAGGCGGTCGGGGCTCGAGGTTGAATGGTTCGAGGATCGAGGGTTCGAGGATCGATGGTTCGAGGTCTGTCCAGCTCGGCTCGCGGGCGCTGAACGTGGGCCGCCGCCATGCCGCGCCCTCAGAACCCAGCGACCGAGCCCCCCCAATCGCGGGACACCGGCTGGGCCCTGGAGGCGCGGGAGAGCGGTGGCCCACGCGCCGCGCCCGAGCCTCGGGGAACCAAATGACCGACGGTCCTTTTTTGTTTCTTTTTTTGTTTTTTCTCTCTCTCTCTCTCTCTCTCTCTCTCTCTCTCTTTCTCTCTCTATTTCTCTCTTTCTCTCTTTCTCTCTTTCTCTCTTTCTCTCTCTCTTTTTTTTTTTTTTCTCTATCTTCTCTCTCTCATCTCTCTCTCTCTCTCTCTCTCTCTCTCTCCTCTCTCTCTCTCTCTCCTCTCTCTCTCTCTCTCTCTCTCCTCTCTCTCTCTCTCTCTCATCTCTTTCTTTCTCTCTCCCTCTCTCTCTCTCTCTCTCTCTCTCCTCTCTCTCTCTCTCTCTCTCTCTCTCTCTCTCTCTCTCTCTCTCTCTCTCTCTCTCTCTATCTCTCTCTCTCTCCTCTCATCTCTCTCTCTCTCTCTCTCTCTCTCTCCCTCTCTCTCTCTCTCTCTCTCTGCCCCCCTCGCCCTCTCCCTCTCTCTCGCATCCCCCACGCCCTTCATTCCCCCCATCCCCCTGCCCCCCTCCCTTCCGCACTTCTCCTTATTCTCCCGCCCACGTGCCCGCCCCCCTGGCTGGCCAGCACGACATGGGCCCCGAAGGGGGCGCGGGCGGCGGCGCGGCGGCGGGCGGGGGGCAGGCGGCGCGACGTTCGAGAACGGGCGTCGGAAGAGGGGGGAAGAGGAAAGAGGAGGGAAGGCCGTCGCCGACGCCCCGACCATCCCACATGGGGTCGAAGTAGATGGGGTCTGCGGATGGCGCCGCGTCGCCGATGATTCGACGACGCGGTTCGATGCCGATCACGATTGTATCCACGCTGGCGTCGCCGATGCATCGCCAGCGTCGCGCGTGCATCGCCGATGCATCGGCGATGCATCAACGCGACCCCATTTACTCCGACCCCATTTGGGCGGCCTCCAGAGACTGCCAAGCAGCAGTGGAAGCTTCGTTGGACAAAGAGGGGTGAGAGAAATCCCGCGCTGCTGGCGAAGGGAACGCGATCGGCGCCCGTGCAGCAGGTGGTGCGCCTCATACGCACGTGAATGCATCGGCGATGTCCTGAAAAAAAAGGAAGGAGGAGAGGGGGCCGTCGCCGTCGTCGGCGTCGTCGCCCCTGGGGGAGGGTTGAGGGGGGATGGAGGGATGAGGGATGCCCCGCCAGCCGTGCGCGCAGCCCGAGCACGCCTGGCGCACTTTGCGTCGCGCACCCGCGATCAACGAACGGGCGTTCGTTGGAGAGAAAATCGGGGCGAGGAGAGGAGGGGGATGACGTCGGGGGGAAAGGTAGGGGAGGACAGTGGGGGAGGAGGGCGAGGAGGATGGGGTGCATTGGTAGATGCACCCAACTGCATTAGGCCAGAAGGCGCGAGGAGGAGGAGGAGGAGAAGGAGGAGGAGGAAAGAATTCGAGATTCTAGACTCGATCCCCAATCGAGGCCGCGTTCGCGGCGCTGCCGCGCACGACTGGGCCATCCGCGCGGCCGCACTTAAGTCGCATCGACCTGCTTCATTAAAAGGGACGTCCCTCAACCCCCTGCACATACAACATATACGTATACACACATATATATACATACATAAATACATATATTTATATACATACATACATACGTATACGTATATACATACATATGTATATATACATATATACATAACATGTATATGCATATGTATATATACACATATGTCTATACAAGTGTGTATACATACATATGTATAGACTTAATATAAGTATGCACACGTATATACATATATTTATATATATATATGTAGATATGTATACATATGCATACGCATGCAAATCTATACATATAGAATGCATGCATATGTATACATACACACGTGCATACATACGCACAACGTTTGTGCAACATCGCATTGCGGGCAAAACCGCGAACACTCAGATACGCGAGCGCGCAAACCGCAGGGCGCAAACCGCCAGCCGCAAGCCGCCGACCGCCAGCCGCCAAACGCAGCAAGTGAGGGACCTCTGGGTTGAACTTCCTCAGCTCAACCGTTCGGCTATATAACACGTCGTGCCACCACCAGAGCGAGTCACACGCGTTGCCGCTCAGCCTGCTGCCGTGCCCGTGCGCGCGCTATAATAGCGGGCGCGCCATTGTTTGCCCCGCTCTCCTGAACTGGTGGGGCGCGCCCCAGAATAGTGCTCCTGCGAGCTTTGAGGCTGCGCCTGCGCGGCGGCGCGCGCAGTGACTCAACGCTCGCGCGTGCGTGAAATACACCTGGCGCCAATTTGTCGGTGCGAATTGCTTCGGCTATGCGGCCCATCCATTTTTCTCCTTGTCGTCCGACGGCGCGGCGCGCATCCCTTCTGGCGACAGCTCGATGCGCGGTCCCGGAATCGCCGGCGGATTTCCGCATTCCTTCTCCTGCTCGGCCAGCGCCGATGGCCCGAGGAGCGCCCTGACGAGGTGAACGAGGCAATCAAGAGCGCGTTCCGCCTCCGCGCACGGCTGCGCGCGACGGCGGCGCCGGGCGCGCGCGCCCCCGCCCCGGCCGCGCGCGCGGCCGCGAAGAAGTCGTCGACATACAGAAATATTGGGATATGCAGAATCTTTCTCGTGATTGTCGTAATCAGCTCGTCGATTCTCTCCCAGCCGCGCACGTTGGCGACTGAATTGCAGCGCGGGGCACGTCGCCGCGCGGGGGGCGACTCGGCGCAGCCGGCCTGACCGCAGCGCCTTTCAGTTTGAAAGCAACGTGCGTGAACCTCCGGTGATCGGGCCGGAGTGGCACGTCTGCTTTTATGAGCGCAATGTCATCACTCACATTTCGCGCGCACGCGCGAGCGCCCCTTGGGGAGAGGCAGAATAGAGCGCGTCTCGCCGTCTCGGCGACGAGCTTGGCGAGGGGAAAAAAAACGCCAATCGTCTCGTGCCGTAATTTTCCAGCCGGGATCGTCGCGCCATTTACGCCACGCCTGGTATAACCGTCGACGGAGCGTACCTGCGCACCCATGCTAGTTGCGGGCGCGCGACAGCTGCCGGGAAGGCGCGCGCGACCTTCGGGGCGCCGTCGGCCTTGAGACCTTGTGCGACCCCGAAACGTTGCGCAATGATGATCTCCGATAGATCCACATTGTCGCCAGCCGCGATCGGACGCGAGAGACGGCCGAACGCGGCCTCCTCCTGCGCTGCGCTTGCTTGAACAGTATCTCTCCGAACTCGTCGTCTCTTAGTGAGGCGAGCAATCGCTTGTTATAATTCAGCGCACACGCGCGCGGCTGACCCGCGGTCGCACCGGTGTGCCAACGCGGGGCACCTCTCTCGAGATCAGCGATTCCGACCAGTTCAACAAACTAAACTCGCGCGGCACGCCGTTGTCCGAAGCCAGCAGCCGGCCAATTACTGGCGCTCCCTGCGATGGCGACACGCGGTCTTCGTGCCGGGGCGCAGCCGGCGCAGCGCGCGGAACTTTCTCCACGAAGAAACGCGTGCGCTCCAGGTCGGCGTGACTTGCCCTTCTACGAGCGCTTCCAACAAAGGCGCGTTTACGTCGCGCGAGATGGCAGCGACCGCGGCGTCGGCGTGGCGCACGCCCCGTTGCGTTCGCAACGCCGCGCCTTCCAGCTCGATTTGGGAAATAATGCGCTCGCGGTCTCTGCAGGCTTACTCCGCTGACCTTGCCGCTGACCAGGCGACTGCTTTTACTGCATCGTTTGTGAATTTCTTCGTGTCCGCGAACGGCGCGGCCCCTCTTTGCAGCGCTTCGCGCTTGCAACCGAGGTTGCCTGCGTTGGCGGAGGACGCGGCCTCCTCCTCGAGTCTGCGGAGAGATTCCAAAATCGCGCGGCTGTGCGCTACCGCCTGCCAACCGACAAACGCGCGCGCGCTCCATTATGCGGGCGCGGGAGCTCCGCCGAGTCTGGCGGGGCCGGCAGTCGGCGCCGACGCTTCGGCGGCGCCAGGGGCGGGCGCCGACGCGGCGGCTGCGGCGGCGCGGGCAGCCGCGACAGCATGACAAACATAATGCTAACACGCCGGGGAAGAAAGCTTGCACGTTTGACGTAACTCGCGCGCGCGCAACTGCGCCGCGCTGATCCCCGAATCTCGCCGCGCGGCACGCATCGCGCGAGGGGCGGCCTATTTGCGCCGCAAGACGCAGAAGGGGGAAACCGAGGCACAAACGCTTTGCTTTCGTTGCGGAGCGGATGCGCAGCCGGCGCTGAAGTAGCACATGCCGCACATAATGTCGCGCCGAGCAAATCTTGTTTCGCGGAAGACGCGAGCGCGCCGAAGAGACAAATACCTCGGTGCGCTTCACCCTTGCCCATCGCCAGCAGCGCGGAATTTCGCGCCGGTGCCATCCTGCCGCGCGCGCGCAACGGACAGCAGAGCGCGCGCGGCGTGTCCGATCGACGCGCGCCGGGGCAATGGCTTCGAGCGCGTCCGCATGGCCCTCGGGCCCTACGGGCCCGAGCCGCGAGCCTTCTTCGCCGGCCGCGGGGGCACGTTCGGCTGCCGGCAGTTGTCGTTCCACCCCCAGTTGCCCCTCTGGGGGCGCTTCCAGACGCCGTGGCCGCTTGAGGAGCTACCCTTGTGGGCGGCTTCCCAGCCGCCCTTGCCCGCGCTCTCGCGGCTGGGCGCGGCCGCGCCAGCCGCCTTGCCGGCGGCCTCCGCCTCGCCACTGGGCGCCTTGTCGGATTCGGCGCTGTCGTATATCCCTTCAAGGGTGCTCGGCAGCGAGCGATCCGCTTTGCAAATCGCCCTGCGCAGATTGAACTCTGGGCCCCCCTCGACCGCTCTCTCTCTCTCTGCCCAACTCTTGCGGGCGACCTCGTCGTAAATCAACGCGAGATTGACGCGTCGTTTTTCTCGCTGGAAAGAGGACGCGCGAGCGCGGCGCGCGCGCTGGCGCGCTTGCGGCGAGCCTGGGCCTGGCAGGCCACCGTCATAATCACTTCCTGGTGCTGCAGGACCGCGCGCGGTGGAAGCTGGCCGAGCGCCGCAGCAGCCACCCCGCGCCTGCGATCGCCCGCACTTGCGACCGGCTACGGATTGCGGTGCGACGCGACGCCTCTGCCACGCAATGGCCCAGTTCATGATGAACATTCCCTTCTTGGGGTCGCTCGTCGGGGCGGCCCCGAGAACGCGGGCGAGGCCCCTGTCCTCCCTGGACGCCTCGGGCCAGTCGTCAGCACCATGCGCGCCGCCCGGGGCCATCCAGGCTGGAAGCCATTTCTTCATGTCTGTGAATGCGAAGGGATTCTTGACCGCACGTTTTCAAGCTTCCTCACCTCGGAGGCGAGTCAGTCAGCCATCTTACAGCTGACGCGCCAAGCCGGCCGCGCGCGCGGCGCGCTGATGCGGCGGGCGCGCCTGGGCCAGGAGGACTGCGGCAGCCCGGCGAGCGCCGGCTGCTTAGCAATTTCTTCCGCCAGGCCCACGCGCGCGATGGCCTAGCGCATCGCGCGCCAAAACGCGGGCGCGCGCCTGACGTGACGCCGTGCCTCCGAGGACGCACTGGCGCTGGGCCTCATCTTCTGCGCCTCGGCAATGCGCTTGATCAAGAACACCCTTGTCCCGGCCGTAATTGCCGCGTCGGCGTCAAAGTCCACCAGCTCTGCCCGAGCTAGGACCTCAACAGACCCGACCTCTTGCCGTTCGCAGATCTGCGCTGCGGCATCGAGCCGCTCGGGCGGCGCGGCCCCGGGCGACCCGTTCCTCGCGCGCTCCGCGCCGGCTCCGGCGAGACCATCGCGCACCGAGGACATCGCGGCAGAACAGCGCGAAACGGCGCGCGTCAAATGCGACTTTTCTAGTGCGCGTCGCTCTGCGGCGCGGCCGAAGCGGCGGAGGCGCGCGATGCCGCGGCGGGCGACGAAACGTGCGCGCGCAAGTGACAGGACGCTTTGCGGTCCTTTTGCCGGCGTCGGCCAGCGATAGGCCGCGGCGAGGCGGCAAAGGCCCATGCGACAGAGTCCCACAGTTCGCCCGAGGCGGAGACACAGCGGATGGGACACTACATGGTCCAACTGTCCGCGCTGGCCAGTCGCGGGCCGCGGCGAGGGCAGACGAGCCCTTGCCGCAGAGGCCAGCAATAGGCTGAGGGCAGATCGAGCACAGACGGGGCGCTGCATGGCCCGCGCGCCCCCCTGGGCCAGCATTTGGCCGCGGGGAGGGCGAGTGAGCCCTTTTTGCCACAGTGGCCAATAGTAGGCTTGAGGCGGGTCAAGCACAGACGCGACGCACTGCGTGGTCCGTTAATCCTGTTTGGCCAATAGTAGGCCGCGGGGAGGGTGGAAGAGCCCTTGCCACAGAGGCCATTAGTAGTCTTGAGGCTGAACGAGCGCAGACAGGACACTGCATGGTCTGTCTGTTCCCTTGTTGGCCAATGGTAGGCCGCGGGGAGGGCGCGAGAGCCCGCGCCTCGGAAGCCAGTGGTGGGCTTGAGGCAGATTGAACATGACGGGGCACTATGTGGCCCGTCACACGCACTGGCCAATCGTAGGCCGCGATGCGAGCAGAGGGGCCCTTGCCACAGAGGCCAGTAGTAAGCTTGAGGGTGATCGGGCTCAGACGAGACACTGCCTGGCCCGTCTGTCCCCCATGGCCCGCAGCAGGCCGCGGGGGTGGCGAATGAGCCTTTACCTCGGAGGCCAGCAGTCGGCTCGAGGCGGAAAGACCCCGACTGGACACTGAATGGCCAGTCTTTCCTCGATGGCCGGCGGTGGGCCCGCGCGACGGCCGCGAGGGGGAGGGGGCCCGCAACCCCTTTCGTTGGAAACTGCGAGCGCGCGCCCCGACGCCCCAGTTTACCCCCGCGCCTAAGCGCCGCGCGCCCCCGCGCGGCGGCGCAGAGGCTTCTGGCCTAGCCGAAAGGGCCAGGCGGCCTCCCACTCGCATGGCGACATTGCCCGCTCGCGAATCTTTCTCGGGCGGATGCTGCCAATGGGCACTTTAGCGAAGCCCGTGACTTGGCGGCGAAAAACGACAGGTGGGCCTGGCGCTGCCTGGCCCAAGGCGAACCGCATGTTCGCCCTGACCACCTCCAGCTCGCCTTGCCTTTCGTCGCACCACTCGTCCAGATGCGGCGCGGGCGCGACCGGGGGCGGACCCCCGGGCGCGGGCCACGCGGGGCCCGCCCCTTTGGTCAGCAAGCGCGCCAATTGTCCCCGAGCCTGCGCCGAGCGCACGACCGCAGTCGCGCTGCGCGCGAGTGCCGCCGTGCGCGCTTTCAGGCCTTGACCAGGCGCACCCGCCGTTGCAGAGGGCCCAGAATCGTGAAACACGACAGCGCAGAAACGCAGCGAAGCAGCGTCCGCGAAGCGCACAGCGAACGCGCGGCACGTGGCAGGCGAGCGCAGCGCTGCGCGCAAGCTGCGGTCGCGGCCGCTTTCGCGCGCGAGCGAGCAGCGCAGCGCGTGCGCGCGGACCCCAAGGGGCAGGCCCCTGGGCCGCGCAAAAGAACATGTTTTCGAGCTGGGCGAGCCGGACGAGGGAAAGCGGCACCTGCGGAGGGAGGGGAGGTGGGATGGAGACGAACCTGCGCGCGACGGACGCGAGACGGAGGCCGTCGCGCGCGCGCGCGGCGCGCGGCGACCAGAGCGCGCGCGCGGGCGGGCCCGCGCGGAGAGGGGGGGGGGGGGGGGCGGCCCAACAGGAAGCAGAGGGTATCAGGAGAGAACGAGGAGGAAGGGGGGCGAGAGGAAGGAAGGTAGAGGAGAGAAGGAGCAAGAGGGAGAGGGGGGAGAGTGAGAGAAGGGAGAGGCAAGAAAGAGGGAGGAGGAGAGAGGAGAGAGACAGGAAAGGAAGCGGGAGAAACAAGACTGCAGCGGGCCTGCCCGTCCTGCAGATAATCGTGATCGCCTGCGCGGCGTCGCGGCGCCCGATCGCCCCCGTCGGACCGCGCGCGCACCTGCGACGAACGCCTGCGCGAGGGCACGCGCGCGCGCGGACCTGCCCCGCGCGCAAGCGCCTGCCAATCGGTCCACATACACCTGCAGGACGCGCGCCGCGCGCGTGTACTTGCTGGCCGCGCGCGGCCGTCCGCTGCACTTACCCAAAGATTGTACCCACGAGCAAGGCAAGCTTGCGCGTCCACCCCTCCTCCTGGTCCTGGCCACATTCATTGTCATAGTCCTCCATCGCGCCCTTCTGTAAAAGCATCAACATGTTTGTCTTCGCCCGCACCACCATCATCACCATCATCACCATAGTAACCATCGCCACCACCATCATCACCGTGGTCATCACCATCATCATCATCAGCAGGTGAGACATCGACATCACCAGTTCCACCATCACCGCCATCATCATCACCATCGCTAACATCATCAGCATAAACATCACCATGCGTAAGCATCACCACCAACTCCGCCAACTCCATCACCACTGTCATCATCAACATCATCACCACCAGCAACATCATCATTCTGACCTTCATCAGCATCATCATCAACTTCGTTATCATCATCACCACCAGCATAAACAACGTCATCATGGCCCAGCCCTTCCCGTCCTCCTCCTCCTCATCTTGTTCGTTCCCCCTGCCACCTCCTCCTTCACCTCTTCTACTTCCTCGTTTTACTCCTCGTCCCCATCTTCTCATCCTCCTCCTCCTCCTGCCCACCTCCTCCTGTTTTTCCTCCTCCTCATCCCTCCTCCTCCTCCTCCTCCTCCTCCTCCTCCTCCTCCTCCTCCTCCTCCTCCCCTCTCCTCCTCCTCCTCCTGCTCGTCCTTCTCCTCCTCCTCCTCCTGCCCTCCTCCTCCTTCTCCTCCTCCTCGTCCTCCTCCTCGTCCTGCCCCCGAGCTCTCTCATCTCCTCCGCCTCCCCTCCGTCTCCGTCCCCTCCTCCGTCCTCCTCCTCCTTCTCCTCCTCCTTGTCCTCCTCCTCCTCCTCCTCCTCCTCCTCCTCCTCCTCCTCCTCCTCCCCTCCGTCCTCCTCCTCCTCATCTTCCTCACCCTCCTCCTACCTCCCGCCTCCTGTTCCTCCTCCTTGTCCTCCACCACCTCCCCCTCCTCCACTTCCACGTCCCCCTCCTCCTCTTCATCCTCTCTTCACCCACCTTCCCCAAAAGAGACGCTTCCGCTGCCGTTTGACGTGCTCACGGCTGACACCCTGGCTCCACCTTCGAGCACCAACGAGCCACGTTGGGAGTCGTCGTCGTCGTCGCCGTTTTCCCCCTTCTGCTTCCTTCTCCTCCTGCTCCTCCTCCTCCTCGTCCTCTCCTCCTCCTCTCCTGGCCACCCCTCCTCATCCTACTCCTCCTCGTTTCTCCTGCTCCTCCTCCTCCTCCTCATCCTCCTGCTCTTCCTCCTCCTCACCCTCCTCGTCCAGTTCCTCTTCCCCCTCCCCCTCCTCTTCCACTCCCTCCCCCTCCTGCTCCTCCTCCTCCCCCCTCCTGCCTCTCCTCTTCCACCTCCCCTCCTCCTCCTCCTCCTCCTCCTCCTCTCTCCTCCGGATCCCGTTTCATCCTCCTCCTCGTCCTCCTCCTCTCCCTCCTCTTTTACTCCTTGAATTCCTTGTCCTCTTCCCCCTACCCCTCCCAGCCATCCCCATCCTCCTTATCCTCGCTATTCCCATCCTCATCCTTATCCTCGCCATCCCCATCCTCATCCTCTTCGTCCGTTGACCCCCCCCACCCACCGTACATATGTTCCTCGAAACCTTCTCGCCGGCATTGTTTTGGGCCAAACTCCCAACAGCAGTCGTCTGTCAGTACTGCCCCCAGCAAAAACCGAACGCCGTACGCAGGCTAAGGGTGCGTCGCCCCCACCACTCTTCCACCTCCTCCTCCTCCTCCTCATCCTCCTCCTCCTGATTCTCCTTCGTC